GATCTAGGATTACCCTGGATTATGTGGTTGCTTCATCTGTTTATGTGGGCAGATGAAGCAACCACATAATCCAGGTTGCTTCATTCATGCGTGCAATGTCATCTAGAGCAAGAAAACTCCTTAATTCATGGACAAAGGAGCCATCTACCCAAAGTGCTTCTTTTAAATGTTTTGATTTAAGGTCTGCTAATCTTGGGCCCAAATATAAATCAGTGGATCAGATTATGGGACTATCTACAATGACACAGCGACTATAGCATGCTGTGTAAAACACTTCAGATCCAGAGACCTTTGCTGAACTACTGCAAACTATCCATCTTGCTATCAGTAGATACAATCAATATTGTTCCTGTTCTAATCTCAAAGGTCACTCAGTGTGCAGTATGTATCTCTTAAGAGAGGTTATATTGAAATTGTGGGGCTAAAGGGGAAACCTTTCTCTTCATCACAAAAATTCTATAGACTTCATACAAATAGCTTATTAAAAGGCTATTCATGTTATCTGTCACCCGTTATCAGATATTTTTAAAGAGAGAAATTAGTAAAGAATTAGAAATGATTAGTACTAAGATTATTTTACATGCAGAAAGTGACCTCTGTGGTGGAGGAAGAAAAGTTTATGTTGCATATCCACCATCCTATTATAACATCCCAATGATGGACTATAGACGTTTCCAGCATCCTCCTAACACTATCATTGCAGGCCTCTTCTTTTTTTGCCCTTTTCAATGGCATTCTTTGAAGTAAAAAGATGAAATAAATGGAAAATATGGGAGAGTGCCAAAGGAAAATGATAATGTATGGATCTCCCATAAAACTGTTAATCAGGAAGTGATATGATAGGAGAAAAAAGTATGTGGAAATGCTCTATAGCTTGAGCATTGAACAGAAGAATGAATTCCTTGCTCCGGATTTCAACTATAGTGTAGATTGTTGGAAAAGCTAATCAAGATGGGTAAACCATAATGTGCTTTGTTTGGTTTTAGATTAGCATAGTGTGTTATTTCAATCACTGTGTTTTATTAACAATGGTTTGTAGCATATAAATGAGCTATAATGGGAGTGCTTTTTGTGAAGGGTTTTTCACCCAGTTGTTGTGAAAGGGCTCAGCTGGTTGATCAATCCTATAAGAATTAGTCTTTTTCTTTCTGAAAAGGCTCTGTTTGTCTTGAGCAATGTCTCTGTATAGTCCAGAGCTTCACAAATTCTTCAGTTCAGGGATCCCCATCATGAAATTTCAGATTGTTCATCAATCCCCAAACATTTATTATATGAAAATATGTTAATAAGTAGTACTTTAACTAATAGCACTATTAATAATAACACCATTGACTCCATGGATAATCCCATTAACCCTTGGGGTCAACACTGATCACTTTGGAGTATCCTGGCATAATCCAATCTCAAATTATGTTGCATATGGACTATCATTTATTTAGCTCTGTATCCTGGACTGGCTAAAATTAGCTTTGCACCTCTTAGAAGAAAAAGAAGATCCAGTATTAAGAAAACAATGTTACCGGTTTGAGGCTGTGTAAAAATGACCCAGGTGCTATGGGGAAAACAGCAGAATTCACAATGGGAGAATTTAATTGATTATGCCTATAAAATATTTCTTAAGTTATATATGTTTGCTTTAGAACAGTGATAAATTTTCTTCTTTTGGAAACTGACCACTTGATATATGCAGATAATCTAACCTCATGATCCACCGTCATGCCCATCCCTTCCTAATTCATTTGCTGTGGGTCATGTGCCTTCCTAAAGATAGTGATATCAATTAGATTATAGATATTACACAAAACCCGCTGATAGTGATTCAAAATAGAACTAGAAAAATGAAGTTTTGTACGTTTGGTCATTGATAATGAAAACAGATGATGCCCCTTAAAATACTAATTTCCTTATAGTAGAATATACAATGTGGATAGAAACATTGGAAACTTTTTTAAAGCACTCTTTAGAGATGGGTCTGCTCTAGTTCAATTTCTTTAGGATCTTCCTTCCTTCCTTCCTTCCTTCCTTCCTTCCTTCCTTCCTTCCTTCCTTCCTTCCTTCCTTCGTTTCCTTTTCTATAGCCATTCATCTCAGCCAATAACTCTAGGCTGCTTACAATGAAAGAAAATATACTACAATAAAAAAACTATTGTTTTTTTTTAAAAATAAAAACAATTATTTAACTTAACACTATAAAAATGAAGTGGTAAACATTATTTATAATTTGTTTCTAACGACCTTCCTAACTTGCAAAACATATCTTTGAAGTGCAGCACTCACTGTGACTTGATTTCTAAAGTTTAGCGGTGTTCTTCTCTGAGCCAGGAGAGGATGTGGAGGTGCATGGCTTAATGATGCTCGAACTGGCAGCCAGAAATGATCTGCACTTCAATTCAAGCCCAGCTCCGTGAGATGGAATGAGCTCCCGTTGCTTGATTCTAGCTCCTGCCCACCCAGCAATTCAAAAGCATATTGCAATATTGCGAGTAGATAAATGGGTACCACTTTGGTGGGAAAAACCTAGCTGCATTTGTGTGTGCAGAGTGGAAGCCGCGCTGGACCTGCCCTTACGTGAGGCATCATGACTCAAGGCAAGGCTAAACCAGCCAAGGAGCCTGGAAGAAACTAGCAACCTGAAAACCGCTAGCTAATTGGTATAAAGTTAGTTCATCCCCTGTGATGCACCAAAGATAGGCATGCAAGCACTGAAAAGAATGAACTAGCAATTTATGGTGTCAGCACTGCATGATGTCGAGCATGTGAGATTTCCATGATATTGTATACCGTATGCTAAATAAATAAATCTATGTGCCAGGTTTTGGTAAAAGTTAATTTTACTCAGCATTTCCTTTTTTCTTCAGTTGTTTCACTCTTTTTAATGCTTTTTGTAACATGGAGATTATATTTGAAATACTTTTTAAATTCTCTGGTAAATATTCCTTGAATAACTGTTTGGCAAATTTTATTTTTACATTGTCAAGTGATTTAATCTTGGATATTCCCACAAATAACTTATTCCTGTATAAATAATGTTTCTTGCAGAGAGAATCAATATTTTGTTCCCACCACTACTGTAAAGTTTCATTTCAGGATTTGACAGAATCTTTAAAACCACTATAAGAGCTTACAAGACTATAAGACTAAGCATTTAGTTGCTAAGCTATCACTGGACCATTTTCTTTAATTTGTGAGAATTCTGAGGGTCAAATTGATCCTGCATAGAGAAACCCACTGCCAAAGTCTCTTGAATAAAGCAGCTTGGAGATATGAGCTGAAGGCAAATGGTGAAGAAGGGCTACACTGCAAGAGGAGAGCCCTTGGAAGAGTGTGTCTGCTTAGAAGTTGGTCCTTCCTGCTTAACAGTTCTGTGCTTTAAGCAGCCATAATGAGCCACAACTGAGTTTCTGTGGAGGCATTTTTTATTAGAGAGAATGCTCATACTGAAACAGCATCTATATTAGCCAGTTGACTTATTCTTAGTAGCCTCTTCTTGGTTCACTTTCTAGACTCTGTCTATAAATAGTCTCTCCCAGTTAGGAGGCTTTTCTGGTAACAATCCTGGGCCTATTCCCAGTACTTCTTTTATGTCCTGTTGATTACATGCTATAGGACCTTAACATTGTCCTTACCAGTCTAACCCTCTCATGCTGTTTGCTAGTATTTTTCATGCATGAAGCAGGACAGTTATTTGCTTTGTTTTTCCCCCCTCTGGAGGAAATCTATCAACTTTCACATGTGAACAAATATGAGCTTCAAAGCATGAAAGTGATATAGCCAATTTCCCTATTTAATGTTTAAATGCAGATCATTCTATGGTCCCGTGTTGAGTATGTTGTGGAAAAATATTTTGAAATGTTCAGTTTCCAGGAAAGCTCAATATACATTTCTTCTTGAATTAGACAATAACTATATAATTTTTCTTGCTGAATTCATATAAGGATATCAGGTAAATGGTTAGCTCTGTATTTAGTTGTAAACAAAAGTTGCTAAAGTGCACAAACTGAGTATGTCTCAGTTACTATATTATTTAGGGTTGCCAGGTCTGCTTCCAAAAAATAGCGAACAAGCGGGGGGGGGGGGTTAAGTAGTAAAAAAAGTAGACTGTATAGCTTTAGATTACGTACCATTTCATCATAAAGCTTTTGAATAAAAAAAAATGTCCACTATTTTGTGAAAAAAAATAGTGAACATAATGTGAAAAAAGTGGACTGTCCACTCAAATAGTGGACACCTGGCAACCCTAATTTACTGAAGAGGTATTGACTTCTGTCATTCCTCTCATTGGTGCAGTTCAGGTTTATATCATGCAGTTACAAATTTATTCAGGCTATTTGTAACTTCCCATTTTTCACATTGCTGCTTCCCTTTTGAAAAATCTCTTTTCTCCTACCCAAACACCGCATAATTTCTTAAGGTGAAAAATAAGGACTCTGCATGTATTTTTATTGGTAACATCTATTTTTCAAAACATAAATCAGAATTAAGATCCTGATTAAATCCTGAATTAAGTCAGGAACTAAATATTAATAGAAGGTGGATACTGGGTTAACAGCTTGAATTCTTGTAAAATGCTGAATAAAACAGCTTTTAATTAACCGTCAAGATTTCTTACATTCTTAAACAAGGTATTTCCCAAATTTGCAAATTTAACATATCTACAGAAATCAGCAAAAATTATGTGATTTTTACTTCTTAATAAATTGCAGCAGAAGAAAGCTGAAACAACACACCCCTGCATCTCTACCTGGTTTCCAACAGTTGGAGCTTGTTTCATATTTGTTCTAGGATTCACCTTTTCCCTATCTATAGTTATATTTCGGTAAGGATTGTGCTGGACCCTCCTCTAAAGGAGGAGCAGGGAAGGAGGAGTCAAGCTGAAGTTTTTTAATGGAAGATTGAGTAAAAACACAAAGCAAAAATAGCACAGTTGAATTTTTAGCATTGTTTCTGTGCACATTTGTATACAATCCATCCTGGAAAAAAAAATAACCACTTTCCTCAAGATGACAAGAATGCTGAGAACCTATAAAATTGTGAAAACTTTGAAAGGACGATTTGGTGTTGTCCATGGAGCCATTCAACATAATCAGTACTTTTCAAGAATTGGTATCCGATCACTCACTGTGAAGGTAATTGCAACTTCTCATTAAACATTTGACCAATTCTTTCTTTCAGTGCAGAGTGTTATGTGTTGAAAAATTCTTGGCTGCAGATAATTTTTCTTAAAGCAAACACAAGAAAATTACTGAGCAAAACTAGGTTTCCAAGTTCTGATTTATTAGAGATATATTGACTTAACAAATACTAGTGTGTACCCTGAGTTTTAAACTATAGGTTAAATTATTTTGAAAGGTGAAGGTTCACAGATCCTGTTTAAATGTATAGAACTATATAATCTGGGCATACTGATGCTGAGATAACTGTTCTTAACAATAGGTTTAAAGTTAATGTGGAATTATTAGATATCAAAGATTACATTTATGAAGGTTTTATATACTCCTATACTATCTAATACAAAAAAAAACATGATTGTAGAGTTTGCTTTTTTGATAGAACCTGGATGTTCAATTCAGGCCAACCTGAAATCATGAAAGTTAGTAACTGGATTAGTGGGGAAAGAGGCCTGCTTCTCACTGATGTTAAACTTGTTTCTGCTTTGGGTTATTTCACTTCCATGTGATAAAAGTCTTTCTCAAGTCAGTTAATAATAAGCAAACCTATTTTCTATTATATTACCCTTGCTAAGAAATTTAGTCCAAGATTAAGGCTTCCCTAGTCCCCCTCACTCTCTTCTCTATCACCATCCTTGTAGCCAGCACTAACGGGGGCCCTGAGGCAAGATGCTTGTGTAATCCCATTACTAATTTTCTAAATTGTCCTTCTCAGATGGATTACATGACTCAGGGCTAACTTCTATCTTTGTTCCTACACATGGTCCGAAAACAGTTTAAAAGCCATAATACTTGGTGTTGTTTGCACGTTATTTCTTTTTAAGGAAACTAATAAATACCCCCACTTTCTTTGAGCAGTGAGAAGATATATGGGCACAATGCTTATCTGCTTCCCTTTGAAAAGAAAGCACTAGAAGCTTGTGGTGTTTTCAAATATTTGACTTTATTTGCAAACCTATAAGGTGACAACCAATGTTAATGTTGTAAGTTAAATTGACAGTTTCCTATGAGGTTTTCATAGAGACAGCCGGGCTCTAAAGTGTATTTTATTCCTGTCTCTTCTTTCAGTTTGTTTCATTATTTCTTTTCACAGACTTAGATTGCAATATTCTTAGCTCAGAGAAAGATCGGAACAGAAAAACCATGTCCCTACCCATATATTTTCTAATAATTCTCAAATGTTCAGCAACATCTAGCTATGGAAAGCAGTAGATAACTTCCCTAGCTGTATTTGCCAGGACTACTTCTAGCTCCATTTTTTCTCTGGCACAGATTACCAATTTATAGTAATATCAGTTTATACTTACCCAAATCTTTCAGTTGCTCTATTTTAAGCCACCTAAAATATAGAATAATTTTGTTTGCACACACATACATGTAACAAACTAGTTCAGTTATATTATTAAATTTTATTGGTATGATCAGTACAATTCAGGAGATACAGAACCATGTCCTTACTTTTTTGAAGGTCAAATTGCAAATGATTTTTTTTTCAACTCAGAAAAGAGAAGAAACATTTCTATTTGCACATTATGTTTCAGCTACATTGTTGTCATATTTTCATATACTTAATACTAGGATTAGCTTATTTCTTCATCAGATGTGAAATTTCCAGATTATTTTAGCTTTAAGAGATTACCTATTTTTAATACTGCACACCGTAAATTATTCCTTCTTAACACTTCCTCCGCCATAGGATTGCATTATTTAGACTTCCCTGCTTTTACTCTCTGCAAATTTCTAGAAACAGAGGATGGGAGATGACAGCAAAAGACCTGGGCTCAGTGTTGCATATGGGAAAGCATTAAAGAGATGGGGCGTTGTCTTACCTGAACGCCTTTTCTCAGTACGGAGATGGAGAATTCACATATGGGTTTTCATTGGATGCCTGCTCTTGAGACCAAGTAGTTAAACTTGACACGCCCCCTCTTGCTGATCCAGTCTTTAACGAGGGCGAAGTGACTGAAGATGGACGAGGTGTTGACTCTCAGACCCCTACAATAGCCTGACTGACCTCAAGGGGTGGGTGTGAATTCTCCATCTCCGTACTGAGAAAAGGCGTTCAGGTAAGACAACGCCCCTTCTCCAGTACGGGAGATGGAGAATTCACATATGGGACATACCCAAGCTCCACAGTCCCAATGGGTGGGAAACATATGAGCCCTAATTAGAGTCACCGGCAACCACCTGCTGAAGAACCCGTCTTCCAAAGGAAGCATCTGCCGCAGCAAAACGGTCAATTTTGTAATGACGTACAAACGGGGAAGGCGACGACCAAGTCGCAGCCCTACAAATCTCGTCAATGGACGCCTGGGTGGACCATGCCGCAGATGTCGCAGCGCTACGAGTGGAATGTGCAGTAATACGCCTAGGAGTCGGCAGGGATGAGGACTGGTACGCCTCCGCAATACAGGCCCTGATCCACCTGCCAATAGTACCCGAGGAAACCTTTTGGCCCAAAGAGGCCAGACGGTAGGAAACAAATAGGGCCTCAGACCTACGAAATGGTTCTGTCCGTTTAATATAACGCCACAACACCCTACGGACGCCTAGCGTGTGCCACTGCCGCTCCAAGTCATGGGAAGGATCGGGGCAAAAATTGGGCAAGATGACTTCCTGTGCCCTGTGGAAAAGCGAATTAACTTTGGGAACAAATGTGGGGTCTAGGCGAAGGACCACTCTATCGCTGTGAAAAATACAAAGGTCACTTCTGACCGATAAAGCGGCCAACTCAGAGATGCGTCTGGCCGACGTGATAGCTATCAAGAACGCAACCTTAAGAGAGAGATTCCGCAATGGAACAGTCCTTATTGGCTTGAAAGGAGGCTTGGTAAGAGCCCGAAGCACGAGCGGTAACTCCCAAGAAGGATATCTGTGCACCACGGGAGGTCTAGAGTTACAGGCGCCTTTAATAAAAGCCCAAATCCTGGGATGGTGTGCCAGAGGGACTGAATCTGCACAGGTAAGTAATGTGGACAAGGCAGCCACCTGTCTGCGTATGGTCACAGGGGCGAGGTCTTTGTCCAGACCATCTAAAAGATAGTCCACTATCTGAGGGATAGAAAGGTTGTGTATATCCAGTTGATGGCTCCGGCACCAAAGGCAAAAATTCTTCCAAGTAGAATCATAAATGCGATTGGTCGCCGGACGTCGGGAAGCTTGAATCATGGAAATGGCACGAGCAGAAAATAGTTCTTGGGTCATTATGCTGCGCTCAAGTGCCAAACGGTCAGTTGCAACCATTGGGGTTCCGGATGTTGAAGGGACCCCTGGTGCAACGACACCCGGTGAGGGGGAATCTTCCACGGAGGGTATCTGGAAAGTGTCATCAAATCGGCAAACCACGGCCTCTGAGGCCAATACGGTGCCACCAGGATCACCTCCGCCCATTCCCGAAGGATCTTGCGTATGGTCGCCGGTAAGAGGGGTAGTGGAGGGAAGGCGTAAAGAAGGCCCTGCGGCCATGGACTCCTCAGGGCGTCCGTACCCTCCGCTCCTGGAAGGAGATAACGGGAATAGTACCTGGGAAGTTGAGCGTTGCTTGCTGATGCAAACAGGTCGAGGACCGGCCGCCCGAAGCGGTGAGATATTTCGGAGAACAGGTCCGGGTGTAGTCCCCACTCCGAGGGATCCACTGTGGCGCGACTCAGCAGGTCTGCTTGTTGGTTGTTGACCCCTGAGATGTACTCGGCCTTGATGGAGGCTAGGTTGAGCTCCGCCCAGGAAATCAGGAGTTGTGCCTCGGACATCAATGACCTGGACCTGGTGCCCCCCTGATGGTTGACATGTGCTTTGGACGCCACCTTGTCCGTGAGGACCAGGACGTGACGACCTTTGATCGTATGTCTGAATTGGCGTAGAGCCAGGTGTATGGCCCTTAGCTCCAGCCAATTTATGTTGTGTCTCAAGTCTGCGCGTGACCAGCGGCCTTGCGCAAACTGAGACCGTAGATGGGCCCCCCATCCGAACAGACTGGCGTCCGTAGTGATGGTGATGCGGTCCGGTTCCTTGAAGGGAGACCCCTTGTTTATAGCCCGCGAGAACCACCAGCGGAGCGCTTTGCGGACGTGAACCGGAACTCTGACCTGAATACTGGATGCACTGGTGTTTGTGCGTTGGAATGGGAGTAGGAACCACTGTAGGTCCTGCAGGTGCAGTCTGGCCCAGGGAACGATGGCTATGCAGGAGACCATCTTCCCTAAAAGTTGAGATAGTAGGAGTAACGGGACAGAATGTTCCTTGTACACCCGGCGAGCCAGGTCCCTGATGCTGACCACTCGCTCCTGGGAGAGATAGACCATGCAATTGGAGGTGTCTATCACGGCCCCCAGGTGCAAGAGTCTGGACGCGGGAACCGTCTGGCTCTTTTGAAAATTGACCGAGAAGCCATGTAGTTGAAGTACCTGGATGGTGTGATTCACATCCCTCTGAGCCGCCAGCAAGGAGGACGCCTGAATCAGGATGTCGTCCAGGTAGCATTGGACGCGAATGGGAACCTTCCTCAACTGGGCTGCCATGATGGCCAGGATTTTTGTGAATACCCTGGGAGCCGACGAAAGACCGAAGGGGAGGGCCCTGTATTGAAAGTGTTTGCCCTTGTAACAAAACCTCAGGAACCGGCGGTGAGCTGGATGAATGGGGATGTGAAGATAAGCCTCTGTGAGGTCTATTGATGCTAAAAAATCCCCCTGTCTGATCCCTCCTAGTATGGACTGGAGGGATTGCATCTTGAACCTTTTGTNTTCTGGGGGTGTGGCTAGAAACTCCAGGGACAGGCCGTGCTGGATGGATTGTAGCACCCAGTTGTCCGTGGAGGAAAGTTCCCACTGGTGGAAGAAGTGAGCTAGCCGCCCCCCGATGGGAAGGGACGTGTGTGAGTCATTTGAACTTCCTAAATGGACGTCCTGCCCCACGAAATGGCCGTTTGCTTTGTCCCTGCTGTCTGGGTCTAAACCCGG